GAGATCATTAGCTGAGGAAAAATTAGACGCTAATTTGGCTTAATTTGGGTAAAATTAGCACTAACATGTGATGAACCCGTGATTAACCATGGGGATTAACTAAACCTAGGCCCAAAACATGAAAAAAAAACGATATGATCTAAACAACTGGAGCACAATATACTTAGGCATGATTAATTTAGGGCCTAATTGTGATAATCATGTTTAATTAGGACTAACCGTGAGCATTAGGGCACTAATTAGAGTAAACTAACCTCATAATTGACTTAATCCGAGGCATAATCCACACGTTGGGGTTTCATGAACTAGATTAGTGATGCCACGGTATTAGAGAATTAGGAGCCAAGACACAAGATCTATAATCTAGTTAATGTGAACACGTTAGTGGACTGAGAAACTAACCATAATCCTCGCCATCGGTAGATGGCGTAGAGATCGTCGAGTGATCTGGTAGTGCCCTCCTCCTTCGGAGGCTGGTGAGGAAGATGTCGATGACACCAAATTTACCTGATGATCCTATCATTGTCAGACCAAATTCCATCAAGTCTTGACTGCAGGGGTGGATCCAGTAAAGAAGACATGGATGTACACATGTGTACCAGATAATTTTTGGGGAAAAAAAACATAGTTAAGGCATCAATCAAATAATCAAATAGCTTTGGGTGCTCGGTTTCTCGCAGCAGGAAGGGAAGAGAAGGGGTGGAATACCTGGTGGCTGGTGGGTGCTCGTCGCTGGTGATCGGAGCGACGAAGACCGGCACCTGGTGGCTGGTCCAGGGCTGCGGCGGCGGTATCCCAGTCGTCTGTAGTCTGTACTCTCAGTTATAGCGAGGATCAAGGGCGGCGGGCCGGCTGCGGTAAGTCTACTTCGGACCTCCGGGCTCCGGGGTTGGTTAATGGGTCGAGGGGGAGCACCCGCACGGCACGAGCTTCTTATGGGCCGTTTCTTTTCCACCATTTCCCTTTTCTTTTCTCGTTTCGTTCTTTCTCTTTTTTCGTCTTCACATGAATTCATTCATATTTATATCTCTTCATTGGGACATTGCCGATGGCTAATGGAAGTGTATGGCTTTAAATTGGTGGAACAATAATGATATTTATTGGAACACCGAAAATGAGCGCTCCATTTGTTTATTTTCAACGGAGTTGCTAGCGCCCGGATGTCTAATCCGGGGCGCTAGCGTTGGACGGTGCCCGTGTGAAGAAAGAGCCTGGACTGCCTATTTTTTCACGCGCCCCACCGCGTGGGCCCCCACGCTTGCGCTCGATTTCTCCGCGCCCGCTTGGTGGCGCCCTAGCAGCGAGCCCGCCCCCGCCTGGATGTCACCCAGTAGCTGCAATGGGTGGTTGCGACAGGTGGGTCCATTACAACATGTGCAACACTAGATCTACTTTTGCAACACCTAGGTGACTTGTAACATACGTTCGAAAATAGCTGAAACACTTGTAACATACCTCTGATACACTTGCAAAACACCTGAAACACTTGAAATATACGCTTGCAACACATGTCTGATAAAGATGAAACATTTGGAACATACACTTAAAACATACGTGTATAGCCATTGTAACATATGCAGCATCTCGATCTACTTTTGCAACATCCGATCTACTTTTGCAACATCAATATAAAACACTTGCAACATACCTTTGATACACCTGAAACACTTGAAACATATGTTTGCAACATGCTCTTTCAGCGCAAACATCTACTTGTTGCTTCGGCGAATGGAGGCTCGTCGGGGCATGGAGGTCACTAGTGCGCTCGTTGGCAACACGGAGCCAGGAGCAGCGCCTGAGGTCGGGTGTGGGGAGCAGCATAGGCGGTGGTGTGCAGAGGGCGGGTGGGTGGCGCTTGGAGGTCACCGGTGTGCTTGCGGGTTGCGCGGAGCTCATCAGCGCAACGCGGAGCTGGGCGGCGGCGCACAGAGTGCCGGGTGAGGGCGGCGCACAGAGTGCCGGGTGAGGGCGGCACGGGGGTGGTTGTGCAGCGGGTGAGTGGGCACAGCACAGGTGGTGTAGAGAGTGGGTGGAGCGTCCGAACGTCGAATAATTAGGTTAGAGCGTTTCCGAATTTTCAAACCTTCGCTTTCATAATGCCCATAATAAACCGTGTAATAATTCTAATAACGCCTTTATATAGCATAAGATGTTTATAAACATTATTCTTTCCTGGGCAGGGCTTGTAAAACGTTTTGATCGATTCTTTCTTTTTCTCTCTTCTTTCTCCACTTGTCTGATTCTTGGAGTTGTTGAGATTTGCTATAACTATTTCCCATTGCTATAAGCATAAGTGTATGCTTCAAATAGTTATGTGAGTGGAGGTTCTCTATAGGTTGTTACGTAATCATATTCCTTTATGGCCTATTTAAATGAGTTAGGACTAAATATTAATTAGAGCTAAAAATTAGTCACAAAATAGCTCATGTCTAGGATACCCTAATATTTTTCATAGCTAGTTGAAAGTAGACTAAAATACCCTTACTTTCTCATGCATTCCACCCACGCATTGTCTCTCCTTACTCATCCTTTTCGCTCAACTGGCCTCTCTATCGCATCTCTCTGGCACGGGCTGCCTCCCAGAGGACACACTCTTCTCCACCACCACCATTAATTTCTCCCACCAAACTCTACACGCCATGTCGGGCCTTCTTACCTCTGACACCTTACCCCCTTAGCATTTCGGCGCCATACCGCAATTCATAGCCATTGCCTTGACGTGCATCATTGTCCCGTCACCCTCCATCTTTCTGTGCCCAGACAAGAAAATCAACATGGGGAAGTTCAATATGCTATGTGATCTTAGCTTTAAATGTCCAACGACAAAGGAAATGACAACCATAAAAGTGTGAAGAAACCGATATAGTGCCAATCCTCATTGTTGCAAGGAAAAATTTTACTTAACCCCTAACCGTTAGAGCAAAGCTAACAGTACAGTCTTTTGCTGCTGGCTGTATAAACAGTTACAGATCACTATCAGCCCACCCGTATAGTAATGAGTTAGCAAGGGATATTTCATCATTAATACATGTCCCACTTTCTTCTCTTACCAAGTTTTTAAAGCTCGGCTGTAAACTTACAGCCCACTTCTCTCCTCTCTCCTCCACTCTCTCATCCACATTAGCATAAAAGCCCACTCTCAGCCCCTTATTATACTTGCTATTAGTGGTGCAGAGCAGGCCGTTGGGCCTGTCAGTCAAAAGTTTGACAGGTGAGCGTTCGGTGACTGACTCTGGTAGTGCCAACAACGTGTCAGTCAACGTGTCAGTCAAAGTGTTTGGTTAATTTTCCATCTCCAATTTGAGGTCATCCATGACTCCCTCGATTCCCGGACACCAGACATCGAATGACATTGCCGCAGACTCCAACGCTTCCACTCGCTAATCTCTGTCACAGATCTGCTCAAGACAGAGAACCTCGAGGTCGGTGATGCATTAGTCGAACTAGGTGGTGTGGTCCTTGCTGAGTGCCTCTAACTAGCACCTCTTGAGGTCAGTGAGGCGGAGATGATCAATGTTGAGCGCGGAGAACTCCGCGCTTCTCGAGCTCATCCAAAAGGAACTTGGTGTTGGGATCTATAGGCGCCCTTCGATCTCTGAAGACAAGTGAAATAGGGTTGGGGAGGAGAGTAACCTAGGGCCAAATGACAATACTAGGATGTTAGCTAACCAATCGGAGGGAGAAAGAATACAGAGATTGTAGCTAGTTCGCTGACGGAGAACAACTAGATCACATTTGTGTGTAAGAAGAATAGAGTTTTTGTTTGTCTTACAAGTCTGAGTCTCCCCTCTCTTTTAGCTCCTGATACTTACTAGTCTGAGCTCCACCTCTCTTTCAGTTCCTAAGGGCAGCTCAAATGGTAACTTATGAGTAGCTCTAAGCATATTTTTTATATTTCAGTAGAAGAGAGAGAAAATGTAGTTCTTAATCAAAGCTAGTCTCATTCATATTTTAAGATTAAATGAAGATTTCATGTGTGGTTATCCATATTATGAGCTATATGCTAAAAGTTAATATCATTGAAGAAGTTGCAGTGTTAGCCTAAACGTTTAGACGGACTGTTCACATACTATTTAGCTATTTATTCAGGCTAACCGACCATTCAAACGGACTAAACAGCGATTAATAAATACGATAAACGGCTGATTAAACAAATACGGTAAGCCACTATGTAGCATTTACATGGCATGTATATGGGCTAAATGGTCGTGTATACGAATGGTGAGAAGTTGTCTTAGAGCTAGTTTACATCGGTATTTCCTGGGACATAATGATCATTTCCATGAACCTGGGACTATTCATGGAAATGGTCATTATGTACAGGCTCATCGGTAACATGAACCCTTGACTCGTCTAATTTTCCTGTGATCAAATTAATATATTTTCTCCTCAGTATTGTAATATTTGAGTTCATTGCAATAAGTGGAGGATACGATAGTATCAGTTGCAGCAAAATGATAACCCACTTTTCACCAGCTTGTTTGGTTTTTTGAAACTGAATTGTTGAAATCTAAGCCAATAACGTCTGGATTTTTAACAGAACATGTCAATTCGAACTTCGAACAAAGAAGTGACACACTGTAAACCTGATAAGAACGCCAGTAATATATCATCACCATGTCAAATATCCAAGCACAGCAACATCAGACTAACACCGTTTATCATAAAAACAAATAAAAGTACCATTACACTGTCATCCCAGTTAATTTTGCCTATGTAAGAATACATCATCATGGCAAATATCCATGCCACAGCAACATCAGACAGCTGCATTATCAGAAAACAAATAAAAGCACCATTACACTCACTGTCATCCCAGTTAATTTATGCCCATGTAAGAATATATCACCATGGCAAATACCCAAGCTCAGCAACATCAGTTTAACAACATTTATCAGAAAATAAATAGAAGTACTTTTACACTGTCATCCCAGTTAATCTTGCCAATGTAAGAATACTAGAGTATTATTAGATAGCAGTTTCATGCTTTGTCTATCTGGTTAGTGCCACAACTTAGTACAGAAACCAGTTCTTAGCCTCTTACTGGTAACAATTTCTTCAAAGGAATCCAACAGCTGCGCAGCCAAACTACTGGGTTCATCAATCAGGGCGCGGATGAAGGTGATAACAACTCTCCGCTCCTGCTCTGTCGATCTCAGACTGAACCAGGTTAGAAATTTCATCCTGAAATCCTTCTCAATGAGGCCGGAACATTCCAACCAACGTATAATCTTCAAACAGTATTCATAGTTGTCATCTAACTGGCCTAACTTCGGTGCCAAGAGCCTAGCTGCACGAGCCACCAAATTACTGTCATCAACACAGGTCTCCTGCTCCAAATCTGATACCTGCTTGCGACTCTGAGACCGGGATTCCATGGCTGGTGCATCCCCTATATGCCCCTCCGCACAAGTTTCAGAGTCACCACAACCATTCGACTTTGAGAATGCATTCTTCCCAGAACTACAGCCGTTCTCATTCTGGCAGTACTCTGTTGGCATGACTACCTCTGCATTTAGGTCTGGGACTGAGGTCTCATTGAGATCGAGCTTGCGGGAGGCGCCACGTGGAACCTGGTCCTTATCTGGTATCACAGAATCACTCTGATCACATGAATCTTCAATCTCATCTTTACACAATGCACTGGGGTACCCATTCTCCTCAGTTTGTGCTTTTCGGAATACATTACCCAGCTGACGCACCCGGAATCCTAATGACCTAACATTTTGTCTCTTACCAGCTCTCTTGGCAGAGGATGAGCAACCTTCTGTTCCGTGCTCTGTGTTCTTATGAATAATTTCCACACTCTTGGTAAAGATCTTTGATTCAGAATGGCCCAGTTCACCATCCTCAGTAAATGAAATAATACGGAAGGAATACTCTGTGCAGGGCTGCAGATTGGATATAAGAATCCTTCTTTGGTCTTTGGGGAAAACAGCAGGCTCCCCTGTGTAAGGCGCTTCTCTGCTATTCCAGTACCAGAGTTTATAGCCTTTGATAGTATGATACTGCGAGGAAACAGCTTCCTTGAGAACCAACACCAAAGATGAAGCTGTAATATCTTCAAATTTAAACCTGCAGGCAGATGGGAGTGTATCTGCAGGGCAAAAAGAATTACACTAGGTTTGTCAAATTTGCCAATTGCAGAGTGGAACTGAAAGATGTAAACTTTACAAGACTGAAATAATTTACCATTTTGTTTTGCTTCAGATTGAATGTTTGAACTAAGCCACTCATCAGCCTTTTCAATTGCTAAAGAGCAAAGTTTCTGCACATCAGCAGCAACAGGCAGCCGGCCTACAATACCACGAGCCATCTTGGATGACGTACCATCAAGGGGGCCAACTTCACTTTCCAACTTTGCTTTAGCATCCTCTACGATCTGATGCAACTCTTTAAAACGTGTTGTGCCATCCAAAAGTCTATGACTCAGATATATGCGGGAACAGAGATTATCAACTCTACGAGCATCTTTAGCAACTACCAGCTGCCTCTTCCAGAACCTGCTCAAAATATTCAAAGACGCAGTTAGATCCAAAAATAACAAAGAGTGTTTGCCAAAACAAGAAAAGAAAAAAGAGACAGGAATAAGAGTTAAACATAGCAGAGATCATATATGCACATAATGCTGCAAGTAACTACAGATATGAAATATCATTCTGATGAATGGTTCGACCAATATTTTGAGTGCAACAAGGTTCACCAATATGAAGGAGAATATATAATTTTAAACCAACCAAATCAATGAGGGGTCGAGATAAGATAGGTAAAAGAACATAGGGAAGATACAGTGACCAGCAATGCTTCATGTAGCGTGACTACTTACAAACAAGCCATATATACTTACAAACAAGCCATATATAAAACTTTTTCCATCTGAAATTAAGATAACTCCCCAAGGTAGATGTAAAATCACTCACCTAAGTATTCCAATAACCTTGCCACATGCAGCACAGCAGTAGTTACCATCAAGCTGTATAGATTGTCCAAGTTCTATGCATCCTGCCTTTCGGTGTTTGAGTGCGCACTCAATGTGGCAGGATGATCCACAGCAATCCTGATCACCAGTCTCTGATGAGCATACCAGCCAAAGGCTAGGATCTTTGTTATCATCAAAACCATGGCAAATACAACATGAACACCTCTTACAAAATGCATTATCTGAGTTGAAGACAGCTTTGCACGCTGAATTTATGCATATCCTTGTGCTAGGAGGCTTTGTGTCTGGAGACATTCCATTTTCACATAGTTGAAAAAGATGGTCCCCCTTTGTTGGCTGCTTTTTCAGAGCTGGACTGCCAGTAAAGCTTGGATTATTATTGTTATTTGAGGAGACTTTCTTTGAATCAATGTTCTTGCACCTCTTTACGGTCACTGTTTTTGGTATTTCTTCCACCGATTTGCATTTTGAAATGCCAGGTTCTTTCTTTTCTGTGTTAACACTAGCATCATTTGACTCTTGTTCTGGTAAAGAACTCAATGATTCCTGGGCATTTTCTGAAATGGTGTTGCTGTCACCAGCAAGCCTATTTTCTTCAGGTGCGCTCGCAGCATTACAAACATTTGTTATCACTGCAGAAGAAGATCATGTTCAGGTATTAGTCATCCAGGGAAATGTGTACAACACAGTGAAATGATGCTGACCCAAGTCGAAAGTAACTCAGTTGCTGAAAAAAAAAATCAAGTGTTGCAGGCAAATTAATTAGACCTAATCCTGGTCACATGAAGGGAGTGTTAAGATGACCTCGCCAAAGAAAAGAAACCAAAGCTTAATGGCATTTCAATGAACTGACAGGCATTTGACAAAATACTACTGGGTTGCTGGTATGCAGCTGAACATTGCATGATGTCAGATTAATCCCAAAAACCTGATGCCAATGAGACTTATTGTATTCATATATACTCTCTCTGTGCCTCCATCCACCACACAAGCCAGAACAACATTTGAGCAGTGACTCATTCCAGCATTAAAAGTATGGAAAATTGAATAGAGTTTGGTAAATGAATCCATTTGAAAACATATATTAAAAAAAACAAATATTACCACAGTATTTTCAGTTCTGAAAACTGCAGAGGGCCATGATCCTGACATAGGTCATGGTTCCACGTGTGAGACATCTGATGGCATTTTTCAAAACCATGAACTTCACATTGTCATTAATCAACGTTCTAGGATCTAACCCTAAGGAAAACAATGGTTTGTACATGTTTCCCTGCCTTAAGCAGGACTTGAAGGCCTTCATAGGTCAACTTCATGGAAGGCCAAGCTATTTGGAGTCAAGGATACCAATTTGATCTCAACAAAGCATCAACCAATGCATAATTGATTTTTGAGAATAAGCAACACTCATGAACTAATTCACATACCAAACTTCCTAGATCCATATGCTGATTAAACCAAAAAAAGATGGTTTAAAGCACATTGACCGAACCATTATTAACATTTCAACAGTACATTCCTTCGAGTCCAACATAGATTTAAATACACATTATTTGAGGAGGGTTCCTTTTGATTAAAGAAGATGCCATCTGAATTTCTCTGGAAACATTCTCAACAAATGCGACTATTAATTGCTTACTGGCAGTGGATCTAGAACATCATGTACAGAATCAAACTGCGCAAATATAGGCCTCAGAGAGTATTCTTAAAAAGAAAGCATCACATAAATAAGCGGCTATCAGTACTACCCATAGGTAGATGCACAGCAACATGGTGTCACAACACAGGAGTACAGGACCCACAGATCACATGACGGAACAAGAATAAAATCAAACTATATATGGACGATGCATAGGCTAGGTTAGTGCTCCACAGAAGCAGTAGACAAACCCATCCACAGCCGACCGGATGGATCAAATAGAAGGAAAGATTCAGGTTTGATTGCTCACAGCGAAGAAGAGACACCATGCGGAAAGTTCGAACAATCCAAGCGAGTTAGGGCTTACCGGCAGATCTGAACGGATCCCCACTCAGCGCCATCCTGGCAGAGGAAATGGGGCAAGGAGGAACACCTGCCAAGTGAGTGAGTGAGTGAGAACGGGGGAGGGGGGATGGATGCCGTCAGGGAGGAGGCTATGAAGGTGTGCTCCAGTGGAAGGGGGCGCCGCCGACCACCGAAAGGTTCTTTTTTTCCCCCTTTGGTTGAGAAAATAGGAAGGGTTGACTCACGCAAATCCCTGCTATTTAAATAGTTGGTGCCTACTCATTTGTGCCGAGATCTATCACAAGGTCCTGTTTTGATCTGATGACACGTAACTTTCCAATACCATGATTTGACAACTTCGGCCTGATATATTATCAGTTGATATGATGTTAAAAATTAGGGTACGGTGTCCATTTGCTTTCGCTCTATGATTTATTGTTACAGCCAGCGTACAAAATCAATTGGGCTGCACAGATTTTGTAAACCCAATTTATTGAAGTTGGACTTTTCCCCATAATATAGTACTGTTTAATTTTTATTAGTTTAGCACCAAAATCCAACAATTTAAACCAAACCAAATACCAGGATACCCAAGAAGCAATACAATTTCTTGGGGAAACCTAGATTCCAAAAATATTTAGTAAAAAAAATAGAATCTTGAAAACTTTTGTCATATCTATTATTCATGAATGCATCAAGGTTGTAAAACATATCGTGGGGAGTTCTTACGTCTCAAAATTTGCTTCACAAAAATTTGATTTGCTGCTGCCGCACACTAAACTCGAAACACTGGATCACGGATATTGATGCATGTGTTGCTGCCAAATCATGAGCCATCCAATAGAAATCTTTAACGCAGATAACCATTTGAATCTGATCCCTTTATGCAAAAAAAAAAAAAATCCCCTTTTTCTCAGTTACCAAAAAGTTACATAGAACTACTTATAAAGTTGTATAAAGCATGCAGACATGGAAGCTTTCGCTTGTACACATTCAAAGCCCATCTGTCTCATTTGGAAGTTGAGAAACTTCCTTAATTCCCTTTAATACCAAAAAGAAAAAGTGTGCTACATTGTATTGACCATTTCAGGTGGAAAGTTTAGTCTTTTCACAGTTCCCCTCCTAAAATACGAGATAGCACGAACTGAACCAGTAACACTGTGACAGCAGCAAATAAACCACGCAATTGGAAAAAAGTGGAGCTGAACAGAGTACTAGTGTGAAAAAACATACCCCCAAAAAAACAATAGATGCCGCTTTTTAATCACTCTGGATCCTCCATGTACAATTTTATTTGACACTAAATTGGCCAACCTCAATGGCAGGGGCATTAGAGGGCGGCGTGCAAGACCAAATTGAGTGAATTGTATGATCAATTGAGGGCAAGAAATCAAGAACCAGAGTAATAATAATTATCTAGTGAGTAAATGGATACGAGTATGACAAGGTAGCAGCACAGCTAACCGACAACGTACTATGACAGCTAAGCGAATCGAGCCATGGATGACGTATGGACCATGCTCAGCAGCAAGCAAGCAAACAAATCCAATCCCGCACAAATTCGGGGGTTCGGTGGATCGCACAGGGGGCATAAAGCGCAGGCCACCCCGCGACCCAGCGGGCGAGGTGAGGGGCTTACCGGCGAGCTCCGGCGCGTCCCCGCCCGACGTCGCCATCCCGGCGGCCGACGGGTGGGGTCGGAGGATGGGACGGACTCGCCTGCCAAGGGAGCGAGCGTGGTGGGGATACGGGCCGACGGCCGGAGCAGTCCCGTCGAGGCGGGGCGGGTGGGTGGGCGGGCGGCGGAACGGAGGCTAGCGGGGCGTAGCGTAGGTGGCTAGCGCGCGGCGGCGGAGAGGGCTCCGCGAAAGGGTTTGGGTTTGCTCGAGCGAGCGAGCGAGCGGTGCTGTGCTGCGCCGCGTAACGGGAAACGACGTCCCAAGTTGGCAACTTGGCTTCGGTCAGATTCTTTTGCTCTTTTTCCTCCATTTTTTTCCCACGACGATGGATTTTGATGCGCACGAGAGATAAATCTGACCGAGATTTACTGTCGGAAATTGTGATGCAATGCAAGAGGTAGAATTTGCTCCAGAAATGTTAGGCCATTTTGCTCGCTTTTTTCTTTTTTCTTTCCTTTTTCACTCTTTCCTAAAGAAAGAAGATCAGGTTTCGGGGGTGTTTGGGAATGCTATGCTCCACGTTTTTCCATCTCTGTTCTACGTTTTTTAGTTAAATAGTTTTAGTTTTACGCACTCTGTACTAGAAAAAAGGGTGAAAACTCTAGGTTTTTATGGAGCTGCTCTACGGTGGAGTTTGTGGAGCAGAATTGTAGGGTCATCCTTTTTCTAGAGTTTTTCTTTTTATAAGGTGGAATAATCATTTTAGTCCCTCGGCTATCATCAATTTCATCGATGAACTTTGTTCCACCCGTCAAAGCTTATTTATAGGCTCAATTTTATCTAGAACTATTAAAATATCTGTTTTAATTCTCAAACTTTACATTTAGGCTCCATTTCATTTGTGAACTATTAAGGTGCATTTTTCTTCTTAAACTTTTCTTTTCATCTCAATTATGTCCATTATCCTATGTGAAATGCCACACCGTCACGCCTGGTCAGTACTAGCACCGCCCACAATTAGAGACAAAAAGTTTGACTAAATCATTATTACTGAACGATCTAAAACCTCTTTAGCGGCCATTAATAATTATAATATATTATTTTAAATGTTACCTTGTAATGATATCATATATATGTATATGTATATGTATATGTATATGTATGTGTATATGTATATGTATATGTATATGTATATGTATATGTATATGTATATGTATATGCTACTACATCGTCTTGTGGGAGCAATTACGTATAAACACTCTTTAATACATTGAGAACACACGTTGATGAGTTAGAGCAGCAGCAGATCCAAAATATTTTCCTTAGCTGTTTCTAGCGTCTAACCAATTGAAAATAAAAATAATATGTTTTCTCCATGAGCTAAATATATATTTAGTTATTTAAATGAAAAAATGGAATTATAATTGAACAGTATGATGTCCGAATTAGAGACAGATTCTGATAAGTTGATTATTTATATTCGAGGATTTGAGATCTATATTTATATGCATTTTGAAATATATGGATATAAATATCAAAAGTATGGGCCATGTTCGTTTCTCTGGTAATCCGTACTTTTCAACTTGTTTTTCAGCCAGAACAGTGTTTCGGCTTGTTTTTTCAGCGAAGCGAACGGGGCCATGATATCTGATGCGATTAAGGATGACGTCAGGGGCACTAATACTTAAATATGATTGTCTATCTCAAATCATGAGTGGTTTTGGAGATGACCCAGCAGCAAGCGTGACATCGCGGCATGGTTTTGGAGATGACCAAGTAGCAAGCGTGACATCGCGGCGCTCTACATAGGACAAGGAACAAAATTGAGCTAAAAAGAAAAGTTCAAGAAATAAAATATGTTTTGGTAGTGCACCGATGAAATTGAACTCAAAATACAATGTTGAAGGACTAAAATGGTAACTCGATAGTTCTAGGATGAAACTAAGTTCGAAAGAAAAATTTAAGGATTGAAATAGTTATATTTAGGATGAAACTGAGCTTAGAATGATACTTGAAGGACCAAAATAACTATTCCACCTTCATTTAATATTAGGGTTGAGGTGGGCCGATCGACCTGGGGGGTTGCTTGACCTCTCCCTAAGTCCTCTGATATCCATCCAACTGTCGTTACCTCATGTATGTCTCGCATGCATTCCCTCGGTTGGTGACCCTACTAAGTATGGGTGAAAACGGTACGGATATTTTCCGACCGTATTCAAGACCGAATCCGTATAGAGGAGTTCTGATCTGTCCATATCCGAGTCCGGATATTCAATATCCGATACCGTATCCGTATCCGAATACTCAAATCACATATTTATGATGTCGATACCCAATCGTATCATATCTGGCATGGTTGACACTATCTGTATTTGAATCCGAACCCAGACAGAAATATGAAAACAAATGTAATATCGGTGATATCCGTCCGTATCCGATCCGTTTTCATCCCTACTACTAAGCATTACTCATGCAATTGGTGGGGGCATCCCTTCCAAGTGAGATCCATATTGTTCCTTGGATTCAACTGACATTCATCCCACGCTTCTGAGCACTCCTAGATGTGTTACCTTGCATGTGACCACTGAGGAATAGAAGACTTGCCATGCTAGGGTCGGTTAACCCATCCCTTGGGCCACTTTGGTCCAATTTCATCTAGCGATGTTTCTACCCATATAAACACAACTAATAGAAGGCATTAGATTAAGCCATATAGCTATGGTGTATCTTATGAAATCCATTGCTTTATATCATCTTGGTGGTTGGAAAAAATGAGTTCAGGGCCAGCAACAAAGAACTTGCCCCTAGTTGGACATTTGCTCGTCCTGAGGAAAGTCTGGGAATTAAAGATAAAAAGATTGAACAAGAACTAAAGTGATTTTAACTCACAACTTCTCAAGATATAAAGCTAGCATAAATATTATTCCAAGATATCCTCATACCTATAGGGTTTGAAGTGCCTATGATGCTTGCCTTTGGTGGTTCAGGAATGGAATAGCTCGATTGAAAACATAGCTTCCCTCCTCTTTCAAGCATGCTTACAATTTTGATATATTTCAAAAGAAATCTCTAGCCCACTATACTCCTCAAGTAGTACTCATAGGTCATTCAAGTGGTTATTGTACATCGATGCCAATGGACAATGGCCATTCTCTTAGGCTTATGTGGCGCTCAGTTAGGGATAAAAAAAGCTTACTTATATTGTGCATATTGTTGAGCCAAAGATTATTCCTATCGAAGATTATGCCCTGTCCTGTTATGACCATCATAGTAGAAATGTTTAGGGTGAGAGACAGAATGGACTCACGCTCAAGGATATATATATATATAGTCTAGAATTGATGACCTCCTTATTCTGAAAAAGGATCCCATTCTTTGGAACGTGTGGACATTTGAGATAATGGTTCTCATCCCTCTCCTTTTTCTTGTTCTCTTTTTTTTTTGTGTTCTCTCTTTTTCCTTTCCTTTTTAGACTGCAATCCATGCCAATGTTTTGCAAGGTACTTTTGAAGGAGAAAAGGAAAAATGGTGGAGCATTTATTCTAATAGACTATATGAGTGCATGGGTTCAAGGATACACGAAGAAAATGAACTATGGTTTATAAGTGATCCAAAATTGTAGGGAACATCGTCTCCCTATCAAAATTGTCCCTTGGGGGTTTTCCTTGTGAAAATTCCTAGGGAAAACATTCTCCTACCTTTTTTGTATCTCCCCCTACGGTTTCATCAATAAGGAAACCGGTTGATTCAAGTAGTGAATATAGAAGCGTCTATGTAAAAAAGCCACATATCCACCACCTCACCACAGACGCGACCAGTAAAGCGTGTCTGCTGTAGTACAACTATAGACGCGCCTTCCTAACGCGCGTCTGTACTAAGTCGTCGGCGGGGGTCGCCGGTCCGGAGAGGTCAACACGCGTCTGTAATAAGCGCTTATTGTAGACGCGTGTTGGTAAAACACGTCTGAGAAATCTATAGACGCGTGTATATAAAACGCGTTTGTATCTGCAACAGTTATTACAGACGCGTGTTGAGATTTCTGAGTCTCGGATAACGGGATCAAACACTAGGGATGCGTGTACGTGACACACATCTGTAGTAAGATCTCTTATTGCAGACGCGTATGTTATTTGCAGACGCGTCCTGCTCTATACGTGTCTGTACTTTGTGGCAGATGTGTGTTCCATATGCAAGTCTATAGCACTTGGCCTGCGCACTTAGCTGTTGGCACGTGCTAACGAGCAGAGGGCAGTGGCTCTTGCGCGGCTTTGAGGAGCGCGGGTGGAGTTGGCGGGCAACGAGCGGCGACCGGAGTTGCGCAGCGCGACCGCAGGCGGGCGACAGGCGAACTTGCGCTCCGCGTGTGTAGGCGGGCGGCGGAAGGAGGGGCGCGTGGTAGCCGGCGGGACACGCTGCTGTGGTGGGTATCAGGCCGGAGGGGCTCGCTATTGCAGTGGGCGGCGGTGGGCAGCCTTAGGGCCACGCCGCGTAGGCGGCCAGGCATAGGTGAGCAAGTCTTAAGCTCGAGCCGCCGGCGCTCCTCTCTTTCCCTCTTCTCTGCCGGAGCACCGCCGCATCGCTCGACGGTGAAATTTATCGCCGTTGTTCCATCTTCTCCCAATTTCCCACGCTCCCAGCTTCGCCTAGTTCTTGTGGTCCTCCTCGAACCACTGTAGCCACCTCTCGCCGCTGCAATCACCCTTGGCGTCGGTTGCTGCCGCAGCCGTGCCACCATGCCCGCCATGGGCAGCTCGCCGTGGCCAGCTCGTTCCGGCAGTCCTCTAGTGATCCCATTTATTGTTTTAGCTCTTCTGCAACTCCGTGATGCTTATCGGCTCCATTCTTTTACCTCTAACGTGCAGGTCACGCCGAAACGGCAACCTCGCCACTAGTTCGCACCACCGGCCATCTAGCTCCGCCTCGTCCCCAGTTCAACCAAGCAGCGCATCGACATCGCGATGAGCTGCTGATGCTTCCTGAGCCCTTAGGCTAACCTATACCGTGCTGTATCTGCCGGAGCACCGCCGCACCGCCGCCTGTGTCCGTTGCATTGCCAT